GAATTTCACCTTCTTCACTCGAAAGCATCTCCCATGTAGAATCATAGTCAATTTCTTCTTTTTTTACCTCAACCACATTATCTGCACCGTCAATTGCTTTACCCAAGAACGCACCGGCTCTTTGGACATCATCCCCAACACTTTTCTTCAATAGTAATCGAACCGGCTTCTTCCGCTTTTGCCTCAATCTCGACCTCATGTTGATCTTTGTCACGTCCCGCTTCCCAAAATACCCGGGAATCGGGACGTGAACAAGCCCATGACGTATTAGATTGAGAAGAAATATGCGCTAACTTTTTTTCTCCTTTTATTTTCTTCTCAATCCAATACGCTGAGCGTCTGGAAATAAATACAATGCGAAGTCACAGGTCCCCGATCACAATCAGCAAGAATATAATAGACAAATTCTGAATAAAAAATATCATATTACAAATGGGATATCATCCAAGACATAAAAATATGGGAAAAACATGCCCTTATACAAAACTGAACAAATGAATATTGGAGAGATACAAAAATACATCGATCAATGGAAAAAGAAAGAACTACAAAAGTAAACTGGAACCATCAAAGAATAGGCTTCGACTCCTTCTTCTGCTCCGTCTACAAGGCACTCCTGTTGAGAATCTTCTGACTCCTGCTGACCATGTTCTTCCTCTAAGTCTGACGTACATCAGAGAAAACAGGTGTACGTCAGCGTGTATGGCACACGACAAGACCCGACCCCACAAAGAAAATAGAACGAACGGAAATCCAATGCGAAAAACAATACGATAACAGAAACAACAAAAGAACGTACAACTGAAATCCACAAATCAACATAAAAATACTACTAAATCATGATAACATAAAGCATCCAGAATCGATCAGGTAACGAGATCATATAGCTAGCGATCAGTTAATCATCCAAGTCACAAGGTCATACAACTAGATGAAATTAATACTTAAAAATCTATAACTCGAGACGTAGTACATCGAGCGAAATAATCCAAACAAGGAAACCTTCATGTATATACCATATGTCTCAAATTATAGATAATTAAATAATAATCCCGATCTATGTATGGAAGGGAGTACAACTGGTCTACATCTCACAAGAATCCATAAATCCTAACCAAGGTGACGACACCGATTCACCTTGACTCAACAAACCAACCACAGTGGCGACCTGTTCGCATATCCCCCACGTGCATCCAATCAAATAAATTCATGAACCAAAGTAGCGACACCGATCTACATTGACCCAACCAATCAGCCCCTAGTGGGGACACCGATCCACTGTGACTCAACATACCAACCCCAGTGGCGACACTGATCCACTGGTACGAACCTGGAAGATATATCAACAGTCTTATCCAATTACATGAACCATGACTTCCCCATCCCAACTCTTCTCGCTTTTCTAAGACAACAACACACGGGTCTCTGGGTCTTACTCACGTCACACAGGTCATTCTAGTCATAAACTACTAACGATTCTCAATACAATCAGGAACAATAAAAGCAGACACGTCAAATACAGTAAAATAACCACAAACATGAAATGTAATCATGAATCAGCAACTACGTACTTCAGAAAATAATTCCTTTCCCAAAATAATTTCTTTTAAAAATTATTTCTTATTATAATAATCCAAAATATTCTCTTTCCTAGAATAAATTCTTTAAAATTATTTCTCATCAATTATTATTCTAAAATAATTCTTTTTCTCAAAATAAATTCTTTTTAAATATTATAAATTCTCCAAAATGATTCCGTTATCAAAATAAATTCTTTCACTTCATTATCATTATTCCGAAAATACTATTTATCACATAACTATGATTTAAATCAATATTATTCATCAAACCCACGTAGATAATAACAATTATAAATTAACATAACTAGATAATTCACCAATTCATCAACAAGCTCACGCAGATAATAACAATTCATAATCTAATTTATGCAACTAAATAACGACATATATAAATTGGAAATGACGAGTCAAGAGGAGCGGGATTTTGCCTGCGAGACCAAGGGGTCTGATGACGAGGCGACGACGCCGATGCGGACGTGGCGTGTGACGATCGAGGCGACGTTGACAGCGGCTTGGATTTGGTTCAGGCACAGGTCGGCGTGTGGCGATCGAGGCGACGTTGACAGCGGCTTGGATCTGGTTCAGGCACGGATGTTCAGCGTGGTTGAGTTCGTCGGCGTGGATCTGAGGAGACGGCGTCGAAGTGGAAGAGGCGGACGAGAAGGGGATGCAGGTGGTGCTGGGGGGTTCGCCGGCGGCATGGACTAAGGGCTGTTAGG